TCTGTGCAGGGAAGGATGCTCCATCCCAAATCTGTGCAGAGAAGGATTCTCCATCCCCAGTCTGTGCAGGGAAGGATGCTCCATCCCAAATCTGCATGGAGAAGGATGCTCCATCCCAACTCTGCTCAGGGAAGAATGCTCCATCCCAAATCTGTGCAGAGAAGGATGTTCCATCCCAAATCTGTACAGAGAAGGATGCTCCATCCCCAATCTGTGCAGGGAAGGATGTTCCATCTCAAATCAGCATGGGGAAGGATGCTCCATAGGGGGAAGGATGCTCCATCCCAACTCTGCTCAGGGAAGAATGCTCCATCCCAAATCTGTACAGAGAAGGATGTTCCATCCCAAGTCTGTGCAGGGAAGGATGCTCCATCCCAAATCTGTGCAGGGAAGGATGCTCCATCCCAAATCAACACAGCAAAGGATGCTCAGAGCGGCATCCTTGTCAAGTGCTCCAGTTCTGGGGTCGGAAGCGGGGTTTGGGATGTACCTAGTCTCCGTTGCGGAGGTCGCCGCCGCGGGTGCTGTTGGCGCACTCGGCGTCCTTGGTTTTCCGGTCGATTTCTCCCCCTTTGATCTTCTTGCGGGTCATATGGCCACGGAAACTAGCCTGGATCTTGGCGGCCGCCGCGTTGGCGTCGGGATCGTCCAAAGGGATGTCCAGGATGTCCTCGTCCAGCTTTGTGCAGGCTCCTTCCTGCCGGTGGCAAGGCGAGGGTTACAGCTGGTGGGATCTCAAACAGGGCATCCCCCTCCCCAAAGGGATCCACTCCAGAAGGTCCTCAATTAGCCCCTGTGCTAAAAATTAGGGGGGGTGGATTCCTAAAAATTCGGTCTATTTGTTAAAAATGAGGGTCCTTTGCTAAAAATGAAGGAGTTTGCTAAAAATGAGGGAGTTTGCTAAAAATCGGGGTCTCTTGCAGGAGGCTCGGCGGCTTTGCAACTGAAGGTGCAGCAAGGGAAGATGCTTCACCCCCTGCCCATCCCTAAATCCCACCCTGGGCCATCCAGCTGCAAGAACTCAGCTGGGTGGATCCTGATTCCTGGGGGTTCTGACACAGGGAGCAGAGGATGGGTTCTGGGGGGGATTTTTTGCGGGGTGGGGGGGCCACGCTGCACAAACCAAGCTGCTCGTGCCTCTGCTTCCCCTTCCCTCACAACCTGTTGCATCCTCCTGCATCCCTCCCCAGGGCTTTGGTTGAAAACACTGGGAAATTCGAGAAGGGAGTGATGCTGGAGGGGAGGAAAAGCCCCTCCAAGGATAAATCACTACAGCCCAGTCCCCTCCTGCCACATCCCACTGGAGCAGTTGGACCCAGCACCGAGACCAAGAGGGAAAAAAAAAAAACCACAGGAAAAAGAAATGAGCTGGAAATGAGCCAGCGTTGGATGCTGGGCAGGGAGTGAAGCTTTTTTGTCCCCCCCGAGGGGCTCAAAAGTACTTTAAGGAGTTTTTTTTTGGGGGGGGTATTTGGAAGCTGTAGATTTTGGGAGGGGGGAGGGTGTTCATCCTGCCGGAGAGTGGCCACGGCTCCACAGAGTTACTCAGGTTGTTTTACCACTGCCAAAGGTGAGGGGAGCAAAGGAGCAGAAGCTCAAGTGACGGCTCCAAGGTGGAAGTGATATGTCCAGGGTGGAAATGTTATAGCCAGAGGAGAAATCCTATATCCAGGGGAGAAATCCTATAGCCAGGGGAAGGAAATCCTATAGCTAGGAAAGAAATCTTCCATTCAGGGGAGAAATCCTATATATGGGGGGAGGAGAGGGAACCCATATCCAGGGAAGAAATCCTATATCCAGGGGAGAAATCCTATATCCAGAGGGAGGAAATCCTATATCCAGGGAAGAAATCCTATATCCAGGGAAGAAATCCTATATACAGGGGGAGAAACCTATATCCAGGGAAGAAATACTATATCTGGGGGAGGGAATCCTACAGTCGGGGGAGAAAACCTATATACAGCGAAAAATATCCTATATCCATGGGAAAAATCCTATATCCATGGGAGAAATCCTATACTCAAGGGTGAAATCCTATATTCAGAGAGAGGAAATGCTGTGTCCATGGGAGAAATACCATATACAGGTGGAGGAAATCTATATATGCAGGGGAATTTCCTATACCCAGGGGAGAGATCCTATATTCAGGGGAGAAATCCTACATACAGGTGGTGAAAACCTATATCCAGGTTGAGAAATCCTATATATAGGTGGGGGAGATGTTCAGGAGATATTCAGGAGAAAAACAACCATATCCAGGGGAGATATCCTATATTGAAGGGAAAAAAAACATATCCAGGGGGACATACCCTAAATCCACAGGAGAAATCCTATGTCTAGTTGGAGGAATCTTTTATATAGGTGGAGGAACCCTATATCCAGGGCAGAAATCCCATATTCAGGGGACAAATACCATATCCATGGGATAAAAACCTCTACGCAGGGGATGAAAACTTGTATCTAGGGGAGAAATCCTATATTCAGAGGGAGAAATCCTATATATGAGGGAAAAAATCCTATATGTCGGGGAGAAATTCCATATCCAGAGAGGAGAAATCCTATGCCCAGGGTGGGCTTTGCCTCTTTGGAGGTGCCCAGGAGGAGGGATGGGGGCTTTTCCCGGTGCTACCACCTGAGCAGGAGCGGGGAAAGGGGGGAAAAAAGTGTGGAAAGGGGAAAAAAAAATAAAAAAGAGGAAAGGGGGGAAGAAAGGGGGAGAGGGGCAGGAAAAGTCAGGGAAAACAAGGAGAGAGGGGGAAAAGGATGTGGGTTTGTGCCAGATCAGCTCCCCGAGCCGGCCAGCAGCAAGGGGAGCTCACCCTCGGGTGAGGAGCCAGGGGTGCAGCTCCAGCTGATCCCTTCATCCACAGGCAACCCCCGATCCCGCCTGGACAGTAATTTAGGGGGTGGAGGAGGGGGAAGAAAAATCTTTAAAAAAAAGCTGGATTTGGGGACGGGGGTGATTTTCCCGAGCGGGCTGTGGGATACAGGATGCTGCCCGTGCTGTGGCCCCGGCGGGATGGCCCCTGAACTGGTGCGAGGCAGGAGGGGGGTTTGGGGCGGGGGGGCTGGGGGGGGGTGGTCCGGGGGGGCTGCAGCAGCGCTGGGGTCGGGGGGAGACGTGGAGTTGGTTGAGCTCTTGGGTGCAGCACCCATCGCACCCCCCGCCCCCGCCACCCCAAACCCCCTCGGCCGCCCCCGGACCTCAGCGCTAATAACGGATTAAAGGCGGAAAAGCGGGTGCCGGGTGGGGGGAGAGGGGGAAGGGGGGACCTACATTGCAGCAGTCCATGGCGGAGGGCGGGTGGGCGGCCAGCGGCGGGCGAGGGGCTCCGGCAGGATCTCGCTTCCCCGGCAGCTCTCCCGGCGCAGGTGGCAAGTTGAGCGGAGCCGCTTGCCTACGTAATGCGCTTTCCTCCGGGCGAGCCTATCAGCCCGACACCCCTGCCAGGCTTTTGGGGGGGAAAAGGGGGGGTGTCTTATTTTTTTTTTTTTTCCTCCCTTTCTCCTCTTTTTTTTTTTTTTTTTTTTTTTTTTCCCTCCTCCAATTTTATTTCGCAGCCTCCAACTCCCTCCTAACACTTAAAGGAGCCGGCAGCTCGCCTCGGAGTTTCGTGGAACACAACATCACATGCGGAGGACGCGAGCCAAGATCTGACGGGGCTCGCCCTCGGCGTGGAGGGGTTTTTTGTTTTTGAGAGAGAGGGGACAAAGCTGCTGTAAATGGGGGCTACGTGTGCATTATTTTGGGGGGACACTTGGCCCGCAGTGATGCTGGAGGGAGGTTTTGCCCCCCCCGGGTTCGTTTGCACAGGGGGAAAATTGTTCTTGACCTAGTTAGGACTTGGTCCCAAAGAAGAGTGTGGATGAGGATGGCGAGGATGAAAATGATGAGGAAGGGTGGGTATGGTGGGACACCACGTCCCAGCGAGCACCCCCTTAAGCTCAGGGGTGATGTGCCCAACTCCAGGCTCCACACAGAGGAGTGGGCTCCACTCTTGGGGTCTAGGGTCCCTTCCCCACTCACAGGAGCATCCAACCCCCCACATTTGGGGTGCTCTCCAGCCAGACCTGCACCCCCAGCTGCTTTCCCGGCCCTTGGTGCTGCCTGCAGACCCTGCTTCCAGCCTCGGCCCACGCTGAGGTGCTGGGACTGGCAGGGTGAGCCGGGGCAGCCCAGGAAAGAGGAGGGACCTCCAGGGCAATGCGGGGGGCTGCAGCCTGCAGCCCCCCCATCGCCCGCCTCGCTCTCCTCTAATCCGGGTTTGGGAGTTGCTAAGCAACTGCATAAGTCGCCCGTGGGCTCGGCGCCGATGCCGCTCCGGCCGGCCCCCAAAACACGGCGTGGCCCCCCCAGACAGGCACCGGCACCCCCGGCCCACCCGCACAGCCCAGCCCTGCCGGTGCTCCCAGGGTGGGTTTGCTCACCCTGGGGTCGTTGTTCTTGGGGGCCTGGTGGCACTGACCTTCCTCTTTGCCATTATCTCATCCCTGTCCCACTGACATCACTGTCACTGTTCCTGACACAGTCCCCACTGCTGCCACCAGCCCTGCCCCCATCCCCGACCTCATCCCCATCACCTCCATCACCTTCTCCATCCTCACCATTTTGCCTGTCCCCATCTCCATCACCATCCCTGTCATGATCCCCATCCCCATTCCTGTCCCCTCCCCTGTCTCCATCCCCATTCCTGGCCCTTCCCCTGTCCCCATCCCGGTTCTTGTTGCCAACCCCATTCTTGTCCCCATCATCATTCTTGTCCCCATCCCCCTCATAAATCCCCATCTCTGTCCCGATTTCCAGCTTCAACCCCATCATTTCTGTCCCCATCCCTATCCCTTTCCCAATCCCCATTATCACCCTCACCCCTGTCCCTATCCTTAGCCCTGTCCCTTTCCCATCCCATCTCCATCTCTGTCTCCAGGGCCATTCCAGATGGATGCAGGTGGTGGCACTCCTTGTGGCCTGTCACCCCAAGCTCCCCAGGACACCCAGACATCCCACTCCCCATCCCACTCCACCCCATTCCATCTCATCCGAGGCATATCCCACCCCTGCCCCCCACCTTGACCCACACTTGGAGGCTGATGGGTGTCACCCCCACCCCACAGCACCCAGGCACACAAATCCCCCTCCAGGACATGCTCCCAAGCATCCCTCAATCCTTCCACCAGCTGTTGGCACCCTACTCTCCCTGCTGGAGACGCTTTTCCACCGCCACCTCTTCCCACCAGCATGGCTGGGCGTCTGGGGAACAGTTCTGCTCCAGAAAACCCCGCTCCAGCTTCCAGAAGAAGCCTCAGCAGCTCTTCTGGGATCCTTCTCCCTGTTTTCTTAGACCCTGCAGGTCCATCGCTGCCTGCTCCGATCAGAGGAGACAGCGTGTTTGGGGGCAGTGAAGCGGGAAGGGTTTTCAGGGTGATTCATCCATCAAAGATCTGGGAAGTTAGCCCCAAAATTAGGATTAGTCCCTCAATTAGTCCCCAAAATCCGCTCCAGCCGTGGCCCCCTGGTCCTGGCAGAGCCACCGAGCGCCGCCGTCTCCCGCAGGCTGCGGCTGCGGAGGAGGGACGTGAAATGCCAGAACATTTCTAATCATTAACGGCGGGTTTTGAGCCCATTCCAGGCTCTGCATTTTTCCTCCCCGGGCCCCTTCATCCGGGTGATGCTTTTCCAGGTGCTCCAGCACCTCCGAAATCTGAATTCCAGAGGGAACAACCCAGATTTCGGGAGGGGAGGAGGACAGGCAACCGCAGCTGGGCAAGACCTGCCGGGAACATCCCGCCGCTGTGGTTTGAGATGGTTGGCACTGAGGTGTTAAAAAATCCTTAAAAAAAAAAAAAAAAAAGGAAAGAATCCTTAAAAACAAAATGGGAATTGGATGCTGGAAAGATGCCCTGGGCGGGCAGCGTTGCCGGCTGCCGAAGCAGGAGCCGGCAGCCGGCGAGGCGGTGCCGGAGTGGGGGTCAAGGCGTAGCTGGTTGGCATCAGCCCCGGCACGGGGTCCCCGCCAGCTTTTTTTCCTCATCCCTCCTTCCTGTTTTTCCCAGGGGAGCTGCCATCGTGCCCCGTGCCGTGGGCGAGCGCCACATACGGCCGGAGAAAACAGGAAAGAGGGGGGAAAAACAGGGTGAGCACGGATGGGGGGCTCAGACCACCCCCAAAAATAGAACACAAACCCCACCACTAATTGCAGGGGGGGGATTTTGGAACCACTCCAGGTGGGAAAACATGAAGTTCACCGGTTGGAGTGAGACTAGGGGACCCCTGCACGCACCCTGAAATTCCACAGAGGTATCTGAGCTCTTGGAGGTGGGTAGGAGAGGAGCAATGTCACATCGTTTCTTCACGCCGGGATGTTATTAAGTTTCTTCCAACCTCCAGGGATGCAGGGGCCTAAATATAGAGGCTAAAAATATCAACCCGTGCTCAGCTCAGCCCCAAACCCGGGAGTTTTCGGGGAGAAATCTCAGGTGAGCAGTGCTAATAATGGTCAGGACCTCATTAATAAAAGTCCTCATTAAAGCAGCACCGCAGGGGTGGGATGGGAGCCCTCAGGAGAAGGGCGGGAGCCGGGGTGGGATCAAGGGGGTTTTTTTGGTTTTGGTGTCGGATGGTGGGAAATGGGAGATTTGGGGCAAGCACTGGGGTCATGTCCCTGGGGAGGTGTCCTGGTTCATGAGGGTTATGGGAACGTGCACCCCCTGGGCGCCTCTCTGGGCATTTTGGGGTGGAATCACAGTGTGTCGGTGCCCTGGGTGCTCTCTGCTCCCCCTGGTGCTGCCCCTGTGTCCTTGGCCTCCTTCGGTTCCTGGAAGAAAAGTGGGAAATTTAGGTGGTACAGGACAAGGGCGGTGGGAACGGGCTGGGGGCAGGGAGCCAGTGCAGCCCTCGGCACCCGGATTTCTCTGGAGGGGCCTGGAAGGGAAGGTGGCCTACCTGGGAAGGGGGCCAGGTGAGGCGGGGGTCCTCCAGCAGGGCTCCCCACGCCACTGGGTCAACAGCACCAGCTGGGGAAAGAGGAGGCTTGATGGGCACATGGGCAGGTAAAACGACACGGGTGATGGGCACTTGGGGCAGGTGTGATGCCGTGGGTGCTGGGCCTCAGGAGAGGCCTGATGATGGGCATGTGGGGCAGGACTGACACTGGTGACGGGCACATGGGGCAGGACTGATGCCCTGGTGATGGGACATGGAGCAGGTGTGATGCCACACAGGCTGGGCAGGCAGTGCAGCATGGGGCGGTGTGGGGATGGGTGCTGGGCCGGGCCACTCACCCTCTCTCTGCTCCAGCAGCCTTTGGAAGTGCTGAGCCGCAAAGGCCACCACGTCACCGGGCTGCTCCCGCAGCACTTCCCGCACCAGCCCCTCCAGCAGATTCTGGAAGCCGGCGGGCACCCTCACGCTGGTGCTGGAGAACGGGACGGACATGGCCGCTCTCCTGGACTCCCTGTGGCAGAACAGCCCGGGATTAACCCCAGCCCGCAGCCCCCTGAGCCACCGGGCAGCGCCGGGACTCGAACCCGCGGGCCGAGGGGGTGCGGGGAGGGCTGAGGAGAGGGGGCAGCGCCGCCGCTAGGGGGCGATCCCCTCTACGCACGCGCAGCGCGCGCGGCACGGGGAGGGCGGGGGGGGCGAGCGCGGGGAGGCCCCCGATGTCCCCCCGATGTCCCCCCGGTGTCCCCACGGTGTCCCCACGGTGTCCCCCCGATGTCCCCACGGTGTCCCCAGTGCCCGCCTGGGTCCCTGAGGTCCCCCCGCGCTCCCGGTTTCCTCCCTCGGCCTCTGCCGTCAGACCCGGCCCGGGCCGCGCCGCCGCCTCAGGCCGTGGGTGCGGACGCCGTCGCTTGGCAACCGTAAACAGGCCACGCCCCCTATGCGGTGGCCCCGCCCGCGGGGCGGGGAGAGGGGCGGGGCCACCGGAGGGTCCGGAGACACCGGGGCCACCGGGGGGGTACCGGGGGTATCGGGGGATATCGGGGGGTACCGGGGATACCGGGGGGTACCGGGGGCACCGGCGCCCTCACAGCCCGTTGTGCCCCCAGGATGGCGGCGTTGGCGCTGCTGGCGCTGCTGGCTCAGGCTCCGGCGGCGGCAGGTAAAGGGCTGGGGGGGGTTCACCCTCCGCCCCCCTCCCAGCCCCGCGGGCAACCCCTGCAGCGGGACCCTCCCCAAACCCCCCTTCGGGGCACTTTGGCACCCCGGCAGCCATGCCCTTGGCGTCTCCTAACCTGCCCCCCCGGCCGGCTTTGGTGCCCATTGCACACCCTCCGAGCCTCGCTTCGGGGACCTTGGCACCCCCAGCCCCGCTTTGACCCCCAGTGCACCCCCAGACCCCCTTCGGTGACTTTGCCTCCACCCTGAGCCCCACTCTGGTGCCCTCCCAGCCCCTCTTCCATGCCTTTGGCACCCCTGCTTAGCCCAGCTTTTGTGCCCTTGCCGGCCCCCCAGCCGCTCTTTGACACCCTTCGCACCCCCCAAGCGCTGCTTCAGTGCCCAGTGCACTCCCGGAGCCCCAGTTCGACGCCCTTTGCACCCTCTGGGCCCCACTTTGACACCGTTCACACCGCACCCCCTCCCCGGTGCCCTTGGCCTGGAGCTGCCGCCGTGGGACGGTGCTTTACGTAAGGTGGGAGCCACATGCGGCTCCTCGGCCGTGTCTCGTGGGCTTTCCTCCCTTCCCTCCTCCCTTCCCTCCTCCCAGCTGCTTTTTATAGCCTCCACTCACTTCCCTGGCGTCTCAGTTCTAATTTTTTTTTTCTTTTTTTTTTTTTTCTCCTCCGACTTGTTTTTTATATAACTCGTTCTTCCCGGAGCCTCGTGGCAGGAGGCAGTGGGACCGGGGGGCTGAGGAATTCTGTTCCTTGCTTAAACCCCAGCCTGGGATGAGCTGCGGAGGAGATGGGGCTCCGTGAGCTCCAGCTGGGCTCCTTGCCCCACATTGCCCCTCAAACATTGCCCCAACCCCTTTTCAAACATTATTTTCTTTTCATGCCCCAAAAATGGAGCTTTTGGGGCTGCCAGGGCTTAGCCCTCTGCTTCCCTCCCTGCTGAAGGTGTCTTTGCCAGTGCCACATGCCTGGTGTTTCCCATCCAACCCTTGCCAAACTTTTTTCCCAAGGGAAAAATACCTCAGAACATATTTATCAGCAAGGCTGGGCTGGCAGAGACACTCCCATGCTGTCATTAGAGGAACTTTTACCAAAATCTGTGTCCAAATCTGCGTAACACAAGATGTAACACACTCCCTGTGCTTTGGGAGATGAATTCTCTCCTGGGGACTTCAAATCCTGCCGCTTCCTCATCTCTGGGGTGATTTTAACCACTTAAGGCTGTCCAGGAAGCTGTAAATTGAGTGGATTCTCATATAATCTGTGTTTAAGAGGGAATATTTAAGAGGCTGTTTTCCTCTTGAAGCTGATGTTCGCCCTGTCTGGTGATTCCAGGGGGGATGCTCGGCTTTGCCTCCTACTATGGTGACCACATGGTGCTGCAGAGGGAGCCGGCGGGGGCCGTGGTGTGGGGCCGTGGGGAGCCGGGGGCTGTGGTGACTGTGACTCTCTCGGGGGCTGAGGGCCTCGTCATCATGAAGAAAACAGCACAGGTTAAAGGTCAGTCCCGGCCCCTCACCAAGGACTGGGGGCTGTTGGTTGTGGTGGCCGAGGAGCTCGTCCAAGCCCAAACAGGAGCAGCCAGTGGGGTTTGTCACCAACCCTGGGTTTGTCTCCTGGGGGTGCAGAGGCGATGATGACTTCTCCACATCATGCTTTCCCCTCTGCAGGAGATCTGGGGGGGTTCAGCCATCCCTGCCAGCCTCAGCCTTTGCTCACTTTGGTTCCCAGCAGCGGATCCCGTGGGCGCCCAGCGGGAGCCGAGCTGGCGCTGGAGTGGGTGGCACCGCACAGGCTGGAGCCGAGCGGCGAGGCTGCCGAGGGGAGAGGGGGGATCTAGCTCCTCTCCCCATCCAAACCATCTCTGGGGAATCTCCAGAGCACTCCTGGCTTCTTTTTCTAGCTGTGCCCCTTTGGGATCTCTAAGCCCTGAAGGATGTCGCCCATGCAGGCAGAGACTTCCTGGGGGCTGAGAGGGCTCAGGAGCACCTCAAATCCCAGCTGCTTCCCTGCTTAGAGAGTTGGGGGGCTGCTCATCACCTTTGAGGGGGCAAAACTGCTGCCCAAGGGCACCTCCACAAGCTGGAGATGTCTTATAGGAGAGCAGTGATTCCAGGAGATCTGCAGGATCTGGCCCAAAAATCCATGCTAAGCTCCAGCAGAATATCTTCATGCCTCAATTCGGCACCTCTAAAATTAGCCAGAGACATCTCGGTGTCACACACACCAAGCTGCTCCTGTAGTCCTGGTTCCTCCCAGCAGCTTCTGCTCTGACACACATTTGTTTTCCGGATTTTCTTTTTTAACCCCTAAATTCCTCCAGGAGGAAAGACCCTCTGATGGCAGAGAGCTTCCAAAATCCATTTCCCCAGCCTAGCTCTGTGGTGAGGAAGCTTGTCCATCCCCACTGGTTGTTGGCCGCTCATCCAATATCCCTGTGAAGGTCTGGAGATCTTTATAGGGCTGGTAGAAGCTAAGCACCATCCTCTTCCTTCAGGACCTTCTGGGACATGGACAGCTGTCCTGGACCCGATGGATCAGGGTGGTCCCTATGCACTGACAGCCAAGCAGGGCTCAGAGAACGTGACACTGCAGGACATCTACTTTGGGGACGTGTGGCTTTGCAGTGGGCAGAGCAACATGGCGATGACAGTCCTGCAGGTAAGGCCCCACAGCATGGATCAGGCAGGATCAGGCAGGGATCAGGCAGGGAAGCACCTCGCACGCTCCCACCCCTTCCCCAGGTGGCCAACGCCAGCCAGGAACTCGCCACCGCCGCTCGCTATCCCTACGTCCGCATCTTTGCCGCGGCGCCCGCCCGCTCCGACGTGGAGCTGGAGGACCTGGAGCAGATTGCCTTGCCATGGTCCATCCCCACAGCTGGTGAGTGCAACGTGCCTCCAAAAGAAAGCCTGGAAACGGCTTTTCCCCCCCTTTATCCCCTTGCAGCCCACTGTTTCTTGAGCAGAAAACCTGGGCCACGGGAATTTCACCTACTTCTCGGCCGTGTGCTGGCTGTTGGGGCGCTCCCTGTACGAGGCTCTGGGGTCCCCTGTCGGGCTGGTGGAGGCGGCCTGGGGGGGAACACCCATCGAGGCCTGGTCCTCCCGCCAGGCTCTGCAGGCGTGTGGGCTCCCGGAGGACATGGGGAGGTGAGAGAAGGTGCTGTGGAAACACCTCTTGCCCTGCACCACACTGCTTTTGGGGAGTATCCTCATCCTTTCCCACCCCACCTCCTCTCCTGCTGTCCCCTCTGTGCATTGTTTGTCCCCCTCTGGATAAAATCCCCTCCCATGCCGAGAGCGTAGGGCAAATCTAGGTGGGTGGAGGGGGAAGATGAGGCCCCCAGAGCTCCCCTTTGGCACGGTGCTTGCTTTAACCATGCAGGGTTAAGCCCCCCTTGTGCTTTGCAGTCCCTTTAAGCTCAGCTCTGTCTTCCAGCACCTCCCCACACTGGCGTCTCTCCGGCCCACAAACGCCATCCGTGCTCTGGAACGCCATGATCCACCCGCTGCTCAACATGACCCTGCGGGGCATCGCTTGGTACCAGGGTGAGCCTGTTTGCATCCCCCCGGGGTGGAGCAGCCCCCGCTGTCCCACGGGGCTCTCACCAGCCCCTCTCTCTGTGGGACAGGTGAGGCCAACGCCCTCCTGCACACGGACCGGTACAACTGCACCTTCCCCGCGCTCATCGCCGACTGGCGCCGCGCTTTCCACGCGGGATCAGCCGGACAGACGGAGCCACTCCTCCCCTTCGGCTTCGTGCAGGTTGGGGGCGTGAGAGGCAGGACCCCCGTGGGGTTGCCCAGGAAGGTTTTACCCACCCTTTCCCACGCTGGAGGCCACATCCGAGCTGGCAGCAGGGAGAGGATGCTGTAAACACACGGGCGGGTCCTGCTGGGTGCTGAATCCCAGGCAGGGGCCAGAGTGGCCGTTTTTGGGAGTGATGGCAAAGCCACTCCCCTGTTTTTCCCCTGCCTTGCAGCTGTCCACCTACCGCCGTGAGAGCCCCGACGACAGCTTTGCCCAGCTCCGCTGGCACCAAACAGCCGACCTGGGGGTTGTTCCCAATGCCAGGATGCCCGGCACCTTCATGGCCGTAGCCATGGATCTGGGCGATGAGCACTCTCCCTACGGCAGGCGAGTCCTGGGCCGGGGTGAGGGTGTAGGGATGAAGCTTTTGGGTACCAACCCCATCTCCTTCCTCTTCCTTGGCAGCATCCACCCTCGGGACAAGCAGAACGTGGCACACCGGCTGCTGCTGGGTGCCAGGGCCGTGGCGTACGGGCACAAAGACCTGGTTTTCCAGGGGCCATATCCCACCCGGGCCGTCCTGGAGGTGACCAGGGGGCTGCTGAACGTCACCTACAGCCAGGAGCTCATCTGCCGTCAGAGGGACACACGGTCATTCGAGGTGAGGGGTGGGAAATCCTCCCCGAGGAGCTGGGAGAGGGGAAGGCCACGCTGATGAGGGTTTCTCCCCTCCCCAGGTGTGCTGCTCCAGCCAGGCGTCCCCGTGCCGGTGGCTGCCGGCACCGGTGGTGGCCGTGGGGTCCCGCACGGTGACACTGGCCCTGGGTGGCTGTGGGACGCTGGTGCTGGGCCTGCGCTACGCCTGGGCTGAGTGGCCCTGTGAGTACCAGTCCTGCCCCCTCTACAACCCCCAGGGGCTGCCTGCACCCCCCTTCCTGCTGGACACCCTCCCAACAGGCAGCACCGACAGAGAGAGGGAGCTGCTTCTCCTCCCTGGCTCTGGGTTCTCCTGAGGGATTTAGGGGAGAGGAGGGAGCTCAGGCTTCTGAGTCCCCTTCCGATCCTGGGAGGCAATGGGCTCGATTACTGTCCTACTAATTAAACAACTTTCCAGCTCCTCTTTGGCTTCAAGCCAAGGCTGCAGGGGGGAGAAAAGAAATCCAATTTACAATTAAATTTATGAAAAATGATTTTAAGAGAAGCAGTAGGACACACTGATGGGAGCTGAACCCCTCATTGCTTCTCCCTCTGCCCGTGGAGCTGGTCCTGGCTCCCTAGAACACCCCATTTATCAGGGCATGGACTGCTCACCCCCATGGCAGGGTGCTTGTGGGATCCAGGGATCAGCTTCCAGCTGCAGGGTAGAGGGGGGCAGAGGAGCTCTGCCAAAAACCCACAGCCAAAGACTAAGGCTGGGCTAGGAGAGGGAGCTGCGAAGGATGTGAGTGCCTTCCACCTCCCTCTGTTGATAAACAATAAATAGTAAATAGTTAATAAACCAGCTTATTTTATTCCTGGATCCTTTTTTTCTTTCAGAGGAGTACCCTTTATTCCTCCATCCTCCCCCTCCTGCTGTAACAGCAGGGAAATTTGTGTGGAAGAGGCACACTGTGGCACCCAGTGCTTGGAATAAGAGAACCCAAGAGGTTCTGTACAAAACATTGATTGTTTAACCCTATTTTTCTGGAAAAACATACAGAAGAAGGGAAAGCCCAGTTGCAGGAAAAGCAGGTGGGCTCAGCCCAGCTGCCACATCACAGCTGTGTTAGAACCAGGGTAATGCACTCAAGCGATGCTGGAAAGAAGGATGTGGATCAAAGTGGATCCTGGGATCACAGGATCCCTGCCTGCTCCTGGATCAGGCAGAGCCGAGTGAGTCCCGGGAGGGTTTTCCCATCGTTTCCACTCCAGGCTTCGGTCCTAGACAGGGCGGGAAGAGCAGGCAGTTATTTAACAGGGCAATGGCACACTGGGAGCTGGGCTTTCTCCAGCAGCGTGCGACTGGCCCATGAGCCAGGTGTGCTGGCCCCGCGGTTGCCATGGCAACGAGGATGTGAAATCCAGCTCGATCTGGGTGGTTTTTTTAAACCACAGCTCAGACTGTGTGTTCAGGGCCAGGAACGGAGCCCAGGCCTCCCAGCTCCGGCCTGCAGGGATGGGCTGCTTTACACAGCCTGGAAACCACTGCCGTGGGCACCAGGGATCCCAAAGGAGGCACCCACCTCCCCAAAACCCAAAGCACATGGGAGAGGGAGCAGTGCAAGCCCCAGGGATGTGGCTCTCCCTTGGAGCCTGGCTCCCTCTCCGCACACAGCCCCACTGTGCCCACCAGTGCCATGCAAACGGGAGAAGGGAGCAGGCACGGCATCCTTGGTATCAGCCCCCTAGCATTTAAAGCTCCCAATCCCACTCCAGCAGGCTGAGCTGCCAAAAACAGGGACCCTCGTGGCCCTGCAGTTTGCCCAGAGCTTGGATTTAAGTGGCAAGCTCTCCGCTTGCTGTTCCTATAGCAACTCCTGCCCACGCCTGGGATTGCAGTAATGTTACATCCCAGCTGCCAGAACCCTCTCCCAGAGCTGTCAGCCCTCACGGTGACCCCCAGCAGCCCCCCAACTACCCCCCAAACACCTCAATGTCTCGGCAAAGGGTTTAGGGCAGCAGTGGACGGATCCAGCCCCATTCCCAAGGTGGGATCTGGCACTGTGGGAACCAAGAGGAAGAGGGAAGTTGTCTCTACCCAAAGAGCCTACCTAGGGCCGTGCCATTGGAGAGGGCTGTGCCGCCCTCGGCCTCGGGGGTGCAAGCGTGGTGCTTGGGCTTGGTGGTCTCCAGCCCGGCCAGCAGCGTCATGAAATCGATGACGGTGTCGATGTCCTCCTTGTTGGCCGTGGTTTCCCTCAGGGCGCTGACGGCGTTGAGGCGGCCGAAGGAGGTCAGCTCGGAGATGTTGGCGCGGAGGAAGAGGAGGATGACGTTGAGGTCGTTGAGGGGGCAGGTGAGCATCCTGCGGCTGAGCAGGTCGAAGGCAGGCAGCATCTCGTAGACAGAGAGCAGCCCCTTGTCCCACTGGCAGAGCTGCAGGGCGTTGTAGATGACGACGGGGATAAGGAGGATGTAGACGCTGCCAACTGAGAGGCTGATGAGCTGGAAGATGGAGAAGAAGACCAACTTGCAGGGGATGAGTGGGGGGATGTGGGGCTCTGCCTGGAGCAGCCCTGTTTTGATGGAGCAGCTGAACTCATCCTGGAAGAAGATGTTGAGGTGGAGGAAGACCAGGTAGAGGCAGGTGGCAGCCAGGAACAGGAGCAGCAGCAGGTTCCTTAGGATGTAGATGAACGTCAGGGCGTGGGCGTGCTGCTTGCAGGTCAGGTACCGCTCCAGCAACGGGAACTCAAAATACCTCTCCCGGCGGGCCCTGGGGGCAGAGGGACACAGTGGGAGTGAGAGCCACCCCCCAAACCTCACTGCTTCACCCAAGTCCATCCTGGACACAGCCACAGCCACAACACCCCGAGGAGGGACTCCAAGGGCTGCGGTGACCCAGCAAGGCCTCACCTCTCGTACTCCTCCCAGAATCGCTCCGGCTCGGCGCTGGCCTGCTGGACCTTCCTCATGTGCTGCACCAGGCGCACCGAGCGGTTGTAGGATTTATCCAGCTCGTCGATGATGAAGAGCAGGTCGGAGTGCAGGGCGGGGGCAGCGGCGTAACGCCACAGCAGGTACGGCAGGTACATCAGCACCGCCACCACCAGCAGCGAGTAGGGGAAGACCTGGGCAAAGGGGACGAGAGGGTATTGAGGGTGTGGAGTGTGCACCCAGGTGGCACTTGGGGGCACCTAGATGTGACTTGGACCCTACCTTGAGAGCCCAGAGGGACTTGGTGACAGCGTGTCCCTCGGCGTCGAAGCCGTGGTGGATGAGGGAGTCCCAGCAAGCCGTGTCGGCGTAGGCAGACTGCTTCCCCGTGAAGTTGGTGGGAGAGAAGCAGCTGATCTGGGAGCCTGGGGTGAGGAGGAGGAGGAGAGTGAACCTCAGCCATGGAGGGTGGAGGAGCATTCCACAGCCAGGAGGGCGATTACATCTAAGGCATCGCTTTGAATTAAAAAAGCCTTTTTTACGGTCATTTTGGAGCTGCTTTTCCTCACTGCTGCATTTCCAGCAAGGACTTTTCCATCTCTTCCCAAACACAAACCCTTTGTGCACAGTGGTGTGTACACAGTGCCGGGAATTAGAGACCAGCCAGACTGGAGTAAAACCAAACCCCCAGGGGAAGCAGCAGAATGTTGGCCGAGGCCAGATTTAGCCATGACACACCATCAATGCATCCCTCTGTGCTGCCAGCACCCTCCTCCTAAACAACCCCACGGCACCCGAAGGTGCTGGGCACGAGCAGCTGAGGCTGGGCATCGATTCAGCGCTGCTCCTGGGGCACATGAACAGCCTCGCATGGCTGTTCCCGGGCTTTCCCAGTGAACAGTGATCCATTAAAAACAATCAATAAACACCCATGACGCAGAACAGCTCCTAAAACAGGACCTCCAGTCTGCTCTGCCTTGGATCACGACATCAGCACGAACACGAGGGGTTTGCCGTGACAACCAAACCCCCGCCGGTGATTGCCCTCAGCCCAAAGATCCCTTTGGAAAAGCTGCGACTCACCAGCAGAGAACTCCCGGGCAAAAGCCAGTGAGACAAGGCAGAGGGGCAGCCCCACAGTGACAAACTTCAGCAGGCGATCGCTCGGCAGCTCCAGCTGCAGGCCCTTGGCTCGGGAACTGCCGGGATCCGGGAGCAGAGCGTCGGAGAGCATGTACTCGGCAGCCGTGTGCGAGAGGGACATTTTGAAGCGAGGAAGAGGAGACGCTGGCAAGTGCTGCTGGTGCCCGGCAGCTCTGGTGTCACCTGAGGTGTGACCAGCTCAGGACGGAGTTGGCCGAGCTGAGGAGTCCCTGCCGAGCGCTGCGTCCGATGGCTGCGAAGGACAGCTCAGACAGGGCGTTAAATCGCCCTGTAATTACAGGGGAAGCCTTTTCACAAATAGAAATAGAAAATCCCACCCCAGCAGCCACGGCAGCGGGCTGGGGAGGCAGAGTTCCTCCTCGACAGCATTCCTCCCCGGCAGGGTTCCCGCCCGGCTGTGGCCGTTCCCAGCTCCCCTCCCAGCTCCCCGTGGTTTTACACCACTCTCTCATCAGCAGAGGGATTTCTGGCGCCGTGGCCCGAGGGCACAGGGGTGCCTGGTTATTTTCAGTGGGGAGGCAGGGGACAGGGCACTCCCCCAGGGAGAAGCCCCAGATACACAGTGGCCCTGTGGGGTACAAAGAATCCTTTCCAGCACCCAAACCAGCTAGAGGGGACTTGCTGCCCCACCTCCCCACAGGCCAGGAGTCACCAAATGAGGCAATTTTGAGGCAGAACAGCAGCTGCAATTCCCCAGATTGTCAGTCCCTCCTCTTGCCTCCCTCTCGGGGCACAGGGGGAGGAATCTGGCTCCAAGGAAAGCTCCCAAGGGCAAGGGATCCCAATAAGAGGATCTAGAAACAAGGGACGGGGTAACTGGAAGGGGCGGAGGGACAGAGCAGTTTCTCCCAGGAGCACAGTCAGTGCCCAGAAATCCATGCTAACACTGCTGGCAGCACAGAGCAGGGGCAGTCCTGGAGCTGCTCAGCCCAGCCAAGCCAAGGAACTCCCCATGCAGTCTCTCAGCATAGTGAAAAAACTCCACAGTCGCTGCCAAATCGCACTTTCGATGGATTTTCCAATGAAGGGACTTTCCAAATCTGAGCTAAACAGCTCTAAAGGGAAAACTGACGGCTCCAATCCAGGAAGGGCTGCACCCAGGTGTGCTCAAACCTGCCCAGGGACTGAGTCCCACCCGGCCTGAGCACAGAGACACACAACACCTTCCCTCGAGGGAACCGGAGCTTTTATTGCTCGGAGACAAGTCCAAAACATGGATCAGGCAGAGCCCAATGTCCACCTAGCCTCGTTTGTCTAAACTAGAGGCTCTTCAGTGTGCCCAGCTGCTTTCCTGTGCCAGAAGCACATGCAGGCACCTGCTCTGAATCCAGCAACACCAGCCTACAGACTGTAGGTTTCACCCCAGCGCTGGCTCCAAGGCAGGCACAGCCACCGCCACGTGCTGGACATGAGGAGATAACTGGCCCCACTCCTCGTCAGTCCTTAGCAATGTCCAGCTCCAGCTTCTTCAGGGTTTTTTGGAAGAAGTGGGGTGGTTTGCAGACGAGGTCTATGGGCTGGCCCAAGGGCAGGCAGAGCCGGTGGGCGTGCAGGTGCAGGGGCAGGTGCCGAGCCTTGCTCTGCTGCAGCTTCAGCCTCCTCAAGGTGAGCACAGGAAGTTTCTGCAGCAAGGATGAAAACGTCCCTTCAAAACCCCAGCTCTTCAGCTGGGACATGAAATCCCCGGCCCACAGGGAGCTGGGGGACACAAGGGGCTGGATCCAGTGCAAGATCTGCCCTACCTGGGGCGCCAGCTTGCTCCAATGCGAGTATTTGTGATCCCCCAGGATGGGGCACCCCAAGCCATAGGCCAAGTGAACACGGATCTGGTGCTTCACCCCTGAGCAGAAAACAGAAAGAGGAGAAAGGTGACATCCAGCCGTGCCAGACCTCACCTCCCACCCACCATCCTCAGTGCTGGAAAAGGCTGTGCCGAAATTGCCGGCAGCCAGAGAACAGCTCAGCAGCAAACCATCGCCCCAGCGGGGCTTATTCCCAGAGCCTTGTCCCAGAAAGGATTCCAGTCATGTCTAACTATGAGCTGCCACTCCCCAGTGCTGCTCCTGGCCCCCTCACCAGTGATGGGCTGGAGCTCCAGCAGCGAGCAGGCGGAGGCGCCGGCCAGCCGGCGGTACCGCGTCACCGCGCTCTCGGCGCTCCGGTTCCTGCGGATTTTCACCACCTTCCCATCCTCCGGACACAGGCGGTAGTTGGGAGCCAGCGTCATCTGAAGGGCAGTGAGAGGGTGAGCCAGGGGGAGGCAGGAGGGAGTGCCAGAGGTGCCAGGCTGGAATGGGCTCACCTTGTAGTGCGACTGGTGGCTTTGCACCTCCTTCTCCACGATGGGGATCTCCACGATGCCCTCAGCAGGGTCTGGGTCCCCCAGGACAATTGCCCTGAGCAGGGAAAGCACAAGTCTGTGGGGTGTCACTCCTGCAGGAAGGGAGCCCTCCCCTCAGCCCTCTCCCACCACGCAGCCCCATAAAACACTGCTGCCCCCACATCCTGAGGACTGTCCCCTCACCCCTTCCTCAAACCCCCTTCGCAGCCCCTTCTCCACCCAAACCCTTCCTACCAGTAGATCTTCTCCACCTGACGGGTTTTGAAGAGCAGCCGGACCTTGTCCGCTGTCTCCTTGTTCCGTGCCAGCACCATGACACCCGTGGTCTCCTTGTCCAGCCGGTGGCAGAGGTGGAGGGGCTCAGCTCTCATGTTCTCCAGCATCTTGGCCAAAATGGGCAGCACGTCAGCGACGCAGTTCTTGATGCCAGGGCCACCTGTGTGACCCACAGCAGGGCAGTGAGGGGAGTGGTCACCTCCCCACGCACCCTAAACCACCCCTAAGGTATTCTGGGGAGGGGAAGGCTGAGATCTGACAGTGACCAACCCCCAGAAATCCTCCTGGGGAAGAGAAACCCCAGCACAGGGAGGACAGAGACAGAGGATCCTGTCAATGCCACGGAGCCGTTTCCACTCCCCCCTCTCCCTCACCATGCACGGGGAGCCCATAGGGTTTGTTGATCACCACTATCTCCTCGTTCTGGTACACGGTTTCCTGCTTGAGGATCTTGGCCAGGACGTTGGGGTGAACCCGCTGTAGCTGCTGGCTCAGTGCGGTGAGTTCCCGGAGCTGCCGCTGTGCTGGATCCTTGGGGATCTGAGGAGGGAACAAGACACTCAGCAGGGGATAAATAGCTCTTGGTTTTCACACAGAGCTCCAGTGGGACCTGCAGCAACTCACTCGCCTTCCGTGTGCGTTTGTGTCATGTCCGAGGGACAGGGTGGCATCCAGAGGGACCTGGATGAGCTCTAGCAGTGGCCCATGGGAACTTCATGGGGTTCAACAAACCCAAGTGCTGGTGCTGCTCCTGGGTTGGGGCAACTCCTGGGACTGATCCAGGCTGGAATGAAGGGATCAAGAGCAGCTCTGGGGGGAATGACCTGGGGGTGCTGGTGGGTGAGAGGCTGGACATGCCCTGTCCATGTGCCCTGGGCTGATCCCACAGCGTGGGCAGCAGGGGAGGGGGGGATTCTGCCCCTCTGTCCCCTCAGGTGAGACCCCATCTGCAGAGCTGCCTCCAGCCCTGGGATCCCAGCACAGGAAGGATGTGGAGCTGCTGGAGCGAGTCCAGAGGAGGCCACAGAGATGCTCCAAGGGCTGGAGCCCCTCTGCTCTAGAGTCAGGCTGGGAAAGTTGGGGGTGTTCACCTGGAAAAGGGGAGAGTCCAGGGAGACCTGAGAGCCCTTTCCAGGGCCTAAAGGGGCTCCAAGAGAGCTGGAGAGCGACTTTGGACAAGGGCCTGGAAGGACAGGACAAGGGGGAATGGCTTCCCACTGCCAGAGGGCAGCGTTAGATAGGATATTGGGAAGGAATTCCCGGCTGTAAAGGTGGTGAGGCCCTGGCACAGGTTGCCCAGAGAAGTTGTGGCTGCCCCATCCCTGCAAGTGTCCAAGGCCAGGCTAGACAGACTTGGAACAACCTGGTCTAGCAGAGGTGTCCCTGCCCACGGCAGGCGGTGGGATGAGATGGGTTTTATGGTCCTTTCCCCCGCTCCATCCCGGGACGCACCGCCCGAGCCCGCTCCCGGGACGGCCCGCGCGGAGCACGCCGGGAGTTGTAGTCCAGCCCCTAAGGCCCAGCCAGCCGCTCCCCGCTCACCTCTCGCCGCTGCCCCGCGCTGCTCCTCAGCCGCTCCGCCAGCTCCTCCGCTCGCAGCCCTTCGGCCTCCCGCACGCTCCCGCTGAGGCCGCGCACCGCCCGGGCCAGCCTCGCACCGCCCCGCCGCCAACAAAGCCGCGCCGTGCCGCCCGCCGCCGCCATCTTCCTGCCCGCTTCCCCGCGTGCCCCCGCCAGCCAATGGCGGCGGCGCAGGGGCGGCGCCTTGGAGGGCCTGTCCAATGGGGAGGGGCAGTGAGCTGAATGACAGCAGCGCCGCCCAATGACAGCGAGGCGGGGGTGTTTAAACGGCGACAGCGGTTGCGGCCCGTAACGAAGCGGCGGGAGCGGCGCAAGCGGCGCGGCCGGGCCGGAGGTACCGGGGGCGACAGGGGTGGGGGGCCAGCCCGGTGTAACCCAAAATAACCCAGTGTAACCTCAGCAAGCCTCCCTTTGCTGCCCCGCTGCGAGGTGACGGTGCTGCGCCTCCCTCCTTCCCTCCCCTCCTAGGGTAGGACACAGCACTGCTACAAGAGATTTCTTGAGATTTATAAAAAAACAGCACCGAAGAAACGCGCTTTTTCCCCCCAATAACAGTAATAAAAAGAAGTGCCGAGGCGCCCCGTCACTCGGTGTCCACGCAGACCCTCTTGGGCGGCTGCTCGGGGGCTGCGCTGCTGCCCCGCTTGCCCTCGGGGGGCTCCTGGTCCCCGGGCACCCCCGGCCCCCGGGGGGGGTCGATGCGGCCCCTCCGCACAAAGTGCTCGATCCGAGCCTCCAGCCCCTCGCACCGGGGCCGGGACAGCAAGGGCTTGTAGGTGCGGGCTTGGACCCCCTCCACGAAGCTGCTGACCAGGCTGCTCCCCGGACCTGTGACATCACGAAGAAATACGTTTAATTACCCCGTTCTTTCATTTTTTTTTTTTTAACCAGTTACCCCTCTAGTTCACAGAATTATATACGTAGCATTACGCTGCGCCAGGGAAGGTTTAGGTCAGACTTTATGAAGAATTTCTTCACAAAAAGGGTGATTAGATGTTGGAATGGACTGCCCAGGGAGATGGTGGAGCGACTGGCCCTGGAGATACTCAAGGAAAGACTGGATGTGGCACTCAGTGCTGTGGTCCAGTTGACATGGTGGTGATCAGTCACAGGTTGGACTTGATTTCAGGTCTTTTCCAACCTAATTGATTCTGTGAATCCCAGAATGGTTTGGGTTGGAAGGAACCTTAAAGACCACCTTGTTCTGCCCCCTGCCATGGGCAGGGACACCTTCCACCAGCCCAGGCTGCTCCAAGCCCTGTCCAACCTGGCCTTGGACACTTGCAGGGCTGGGGCAGCCACAGCTTCTCTGGGTAACCTGTGCCAGGGCCTCCCCACCCTCACAGGGAAGGATTTCTTCCCAATATCCAATCTAACCATGCCTGCTGGCAGTGTGAATTCCAAGGTATTCCCCCAAACTCCCCCCTTACCTTTGCCAGTGGCTATGGGAGCAGTGTCCAGCCCTGCCAACATGTCCCGAAGCACGTGGGTTTTGACAGCGTGGCTGGCCCAGAGCTGCTGCAGGTGTGTCACGTTGAAGCCCTGCACCTCCGGGTCGTAGAGCCACTGCAGGTCTGGGAACTCGCAGTCGTACAGGACCAGGGGGAACTCGACTGCCATGCTGGGGACAAGGACAGGAGGTGGGCCCACAAAAAGGCTCAAGAACGGTGGATCTGCCACAGCCAGCCCTGCCCTTTACTGAACTCCCTTTCCCAATAAAAGCTGACTTAATTTTCACCAAATACCAAGGAGTAAAGCTATTAAAGCTTTGTCTGAGAGCAAGAAAACAGAGGTCCTTATGGACACATCCCAGGCTGGCAGCCTACTTCCATGCTGGGAGACTGCTCCATGTGCTGGCAGGGACGTGGCTCCCCAGCAGCACTCCGGGTGCAGCCATTGCTCCGTCCGGTTTTCCAGAGCAATCCCTACCTGTACTGCGGTTTCCGGGGGTTCTTCTCCACGTCCAGCAGTTCGTCGATGATGTCCGGGCTCTCCATGCCCTGGCCGATGAGGAAGAGCACGGCCATCATGCAGCGGACCTGGTGGTACAGGAACGCCTGCCCTGTCACCTCGAACTGGCACAGCCGGAAGGGATCCCGCGGCCCGGATTCTCCCCCTCTCTCCACCCACGTCACGCGGGCGCTGAGGATCGTCCTCTGGAAGTTGAGCACCCCGTTGGCCACGTCCATCTTGCAGAGGTTGCGGAAGTCGTGGGTGCCCACGTAGCGCTGGGCGGCGCTGTCCATGAGGGCCACGTCCAGCTGGGCGCAGGGGAAGAAGTACCGGTAGGTGCGGCGCTGGCAGCTGAAGCGGGCGCTGAACTCCGGCGCCACGGGGGCCCAGGCCAGCACCCGGATGTCGGGGGGCAGCACCCTGTTCAGGATGTGGGTGTAGCGGAGCTCCTCCCGCTGCCCCTCGCCCGCGTGCCCGTTTTGCTGCTGCCCCTCCGGTGGCAGGCTGGAGCGCAGATCCAGGGAAATCACCTGCAGAGACGAGTAAAAGCCAGGATTAGAGCGCGGATGGATGGGCGCAGCGGCGTGTGGAGCCAAGTCTTCCTACACCTCTGGGAAATAAACCCAGGATCTCCTACGGATGAAGGTGGCTTCAGTCGGGTGATCCTACCATGGGAGCTGCGAGTGCCTCTGCTGAGGAGCCGAGCAGATGCCACAGATTCCATTAATAAAACAGGGAAAGTTGCAGGCTGCCTACGTAGCACAGTCTCGGAACAGCTTCAACTTTAGTCACTGGGTTTGGGTTATAATGTGCTGTTATTTTTTTTTTTTTTTTTAAGCTGGAGGTGATGACTTGAAGGCAGTAACAGCCTGGCTCGCTTGGAAACCTGGTGTGGGAACAAGTTCATTCCCAGCGCGGGTGCCATGTGCTGAAACAGCACAAGAGGAGGCACCAAGTGCCCTGATTTCGTGCGGCTCATCCTGCCATGGAGAGCAGAGCAGCCACTCGAGGCCAAACCTATGCCAGCTCTGCTTCCTGCACCAGGAGGGAAGGAAGGAGAGCGGCCCAATGGTGAAGCCACCACGGTTGTGTTCTCCTCAATGGCTCAGCCAGCCGGGTGGCTCCGTGCCCACTGAGCAGGCCAGCTCCATCCCCTCCCTCCAGCTCCCACTCCCACGCTCCCTTCCGCTGGCTGCAGCTCCTCTCAGACCCTTCTGTGCAGGAATTCAGCTGCCTGATGCTGCAGGAAGGGAGCCAATTTCTGGGGATTTTGGATTTTGGTGGGATTGGAGAGTTAAATCAGCTGAGAGGGCCCTGCCAAAGACAGGGCATTGCCCCTTTTTGGGCAGTGCTGAGCTACTGGAGAAGCTGCAGCCTAAACCATGTTTTATCCTCCTAAAGCAGGGCCCCGGAAAAGAACTTAAACTAATATGGGGCACAAAATAGCACTAAAACGCTTCAGGGGTCTGAAATAGTCTTTCCACATGCAGGAAAGCCATTGCCAGGCTCACTTCCAGGGGTAAGAGCTGACGGCTTTCAAAGAACAAATCCAAGCTGTGCTGTGGGACAGCAATCCCACTGGATCTCCATCCCACCCGGGAAAACCCCCAGGAGATGCTGACCTGCCCAAAGGCGCTGACTCCCTTGTCCGTGCGCCCGCAGCGATGGTAGTTGGAGGTCTCTCTGCTGTCCACCAGCCGTGTCTTCTTCAAGGCTTCAAAGAGCTTCTCCTCGATGGTGTTGGGGGTGTTCTCCTGGCTGGCAAAGCCCTGGTAGCCCCAGCCCAGGTAGGCGATGCGCAGTGCCACGTGTCTGCGGCCGTGCGCGCTGAAATCGAAGGGCCTTTGTTGGCGTCTTTTGGCTTTCCCAGGGGCCAGAGCAGCCTCTCTCCTCCCAGTGCCCTCCTTGTCATCCTGGAGCTTCTCCTGCAGCCACTTCACCTCCGCTTCCAGCTCCTGCACCCTCCTCAGGAGCCCCTCGTGGTCAGCAGCCGTGCTCTCCTCGGCCATAGCCACTGCCCTGGAGCGTCAGTTTGTTGCCGGTGGATCCTCGGGGTCTGCAGGGAAAGAAAAAAATGATGGATTTACATTTTTATGTGGTTTTTACTGCACCTCTAGGCTGGCTCTGCAAAATAACCTTTATCCACGGAGTCGGTTTCTATCATCTGAGCCCCTGTTCCCAGTGGAGCATGGACAGGGCCATGGGGGCTCAGCTCTGGCAGCCTTCATCTCACTCCAGTCTCTTTTTTTGGAGTCTTTAATCACTCCTCTTCCCCCAGCCGATGGGATCTGCTCCGTCAGCGCAGCACGTTCCCGGCGTTCCCGGCGAGCCGTCACGGAGCCTTCTCACTTTCACACCTGCATCCCGCTGCAGACAGCGCGCTGACGGCTGCCACTCATCCCGCCCTGCCATCTGCTCCCGCCCTTCCCAGCGCCACCAGGGGCTCCTGCAGCTCTTCCAACCCACCTAAAGATATCCTAAGCCTGTGCTGGGAGTGGGATCTGTGTCCGGATCCCTTTTTGTCACAGGGCTAGAGGTTTACTCGAGGTTTACTATCACCAGACTCATAAGCGAGCATCTAAACATGCTGTGCTGAGCCTCTTCCTCCTCTGCAGAAGTAGAACACCCTCTCTGATATCCCTGGATTAAATCATGACTAAATAATGTGGATTTAGAAGCACAGGTACAAGGGGAAAACCATTAATCTCTCACCCAGTGCACGGAACTTGCCCTGTGTTTGTCAAGCAGGACTTAACTGACCACATAACTAATTCTAGTGGAGTTTTCCAGCAGGAATTAAGGGCTTGTGTTTCTGTTACTGTAGGGAAGAGCCTTCTGCTGGTGGCAGGAGGTTCAGCAGTGCTCTGAGAACATGCCCAACCTAAATCAACACCCCTGAACCCAAACATTTGAGTCTCGGAGCCCCCTTTGACACCTTTAGCCAGCTTGAACATGCTGCAAGACATTAACCCTGGTTTCTTTTTCTGCAGAATCCACCCGGTTTGGTGGGAATCATGGAGGGGACATCGGGCGCCTGGGGGGGAGGCAGCGAGGAGCTGGCGCGTCCCCGTGACGACCCCTATGCCGATGCCTCCATCGTTTGTGGGGCACAGTCAGACCTTCCAGTGCTTTCTGAGGATCAGAGGGAAAACAGGAAGTTGGTGATGAAGAGGAAGGTGCTGAGGCACAGACCCGACGGAATGGTGGAGATCTTTGATGAGTCGGTGGACAATGAGCCGGGGTGCAGTGCCGAGCCCAAGTGCGGTGCCGAGCTGTGGAATACGGGGCGTTCCAGGGTTTTTATGGAGGACACCATCTCCGAGGGGGAAATCAGCAGCGAGGACCTGGAGGAGTGCATGCCCTGTGATGAGGAGTGGTTCCTTGAGGACAACCCCTGCTCTCTCCTCGAGGATCTTGGGAGACGGAGCATGTCTCGGCACTCCGCTCGGGTGGGATCGCCTACGTCCTACATTCTTCCGCAGGTTGGCAGACGGAAGAAAACCGACCCAGTGGCCAAATTCCACGGATACAGACAAGACTGGGAGAGATACAGCATCCCGGGGGAGGATCCACACGATGATCTGCGCTGGGCCGTGCGGAGGCAGATGGCCCAGCCGGGAGAGCCGCGCCGGGCACCCAAGCGCCTCGTGCCCAACACGTACGTGGTGCCCACGACCAAGCAGCGCGACGCCCTGCGCTTCGGCGTGCGCCGGGACCTGGCCCAGTGCCTCATGCCCCGCAAGGACGCCTCCTAGAGCCACAGCCCCCGCTCCAGCACCACCGCTTTCCCCTCCTCAACATCCTCCATCACCTGGAAAATCCCCTCGCCGCGTTCCAGTTCTGCCGTGGAGGAGGTTTGATTTGCGATGTCTCGGCGGCGTCTTTTCCTTTAATAAAGCATCTGCAAACATTCCTTATCGTGCTGTGGGTTTGTTAGAAACTCCACAGGCAGCATCTTTTATTCCAGACTTATCCCTGCTCCACCAAACTCTGCTCCCTTGGCCTTATTTTACCTCATTTTTAAAATAAGGGAGCTTTGGGATGGAAGTGAGGTAGTATTAGTGTTATTGCTATTATTAGTGTTGATTTTTTTCCCAGGTATAGGGATGGACTGAAAACATGGCAGTTCTGGCGCAGGAAAAAGTCCCCAAAAGCTGAGTGGGATGGCTGGAAAAGGGAGCAGGGAGGACAGGACACAGGTGACAGCTGCAGCCTGGAGCTCTATGTCCAGCTCCCACCAAACCTCCTCTGGATGTGACCCCAGATGGGAAACACACAGGCCTGTGTGGTTACCCCACACTGGGGGTGTTCTGGCACCCCAGGGACCTTCCAGGGTTGGGGTCCCTGGCTCTCCAGCACCGTGCAGACCCCCATCCACCTATGAAGGGAGTTTTGTCTCCCAGAACCTTAGAGACTTCCCCCCAAATGCTATGGGGGACAGCACCCCCACCCTACAGGGTCTCTGCTCCTTCAGCACCCCATAAAACCCTATGGGGTCTCTGTCTGCAGCAGGGGACCCTCCCTGCTCCATGGTTCCTGTGCCCAAAACCCCAGGGACTCCCCAAAACCCTACGGGGTCCCTGCATCTCCATCACCCTGGGGATACCCCTCCCCTTCTGGTGTCCCTGTCTCCAGCACCCAATGTGGGGGTCCTTGTCCCCAACACCCCAGAGACCACCCCAGAAACCCTATGGGATCACTGCATCTCCATCACCTGGGGCACCCCTCACCTCTTGACCATAGGATCATGGGGGGGCTCCCTGTCCTCCAACACCCCAGGAAGCCCCCAAAACCTATGGGGTCCCTGCATCTCTATCTACCTGGGGACAGCCCTCGCCCCTTGGTGTCCCTGTTCCCAGCATTTGGGGGGGAGTGTAGTCCCTGTCCCCAACACCTCAGGGACCCCCCAAAAACCTATGGGGTCCCTGTCTGCAGCAGGGGACCTTCCCTGCACTACCATCCCTGTTCACAACTCTTCAGGGACTCCCACTATCCTATGGGACACAACGACCGCCCAAAACAAAATGGGGACCAGGGTTGGCACCCTATGGAGTCCCTATCTGCAACAGGGGACCCTTGCTGTCCTATGATATCGCTGCCCCAACTCCCCAAGGACCACCCTATAGCAAGGGGGTCCCTATTCCCCAGCACTGCAGGGACCCCTCAAAAACCTATGGGGTCCCTGTCTGCAGCAGGGGACCTTCCCTGCTCCACAATCCCTGTTCCCAGCTCCCCAGGGACCCCCACCCTATAGCAGGAGGTCTCCCTCCCCCAGCACTCCAGGCATTCCCCCAAAACTCTACGGTGTGCCTGTGTGCAACAGCAGGAACCACCCCCCGCCCTACGGGGCCCTTTAAACTCTCCAGGACCCTCCACCCTATAGCGGGTGCTCTCTGTCCCCCAGCACTCCAGGCATCCTCCCAAAACTCTACAGAGTGCCTGTGTGCAACAGAGGACCCTTCCTGCCCTATGAAGTCATTCTCCCCAACTCCCCAGGGACCCCCACCCTATAGTGGGGCGGGGTCCCTATCCCCCAGCACTGCAGGGACACCCCCAAAAACCTATCAGGTCCCTGCCCTACGGGGCCCCTGCCCACAACTCTCCAGGGACCCGCCACCTTATAGTGAGGGGTCTCTGTCCCCCAGCACTCCAGGCATCCTCCCAAAACTCTATGGGGTCCCTGTCTGCAGCTGGGAACCTTCCCTGTCCCCAGCTCCCCAGGGACCCTCCACGATATAGTGTAGGGGGGTGTTTCTGTCCCCCAGCATTCCAGATATCCCTCCAAACCTCTGCGGGGTCCCAACAGGGGACCCTCCCTGCCCTATGAGGTCGCTGTCCCCAACTCCCCAGGGATCCCCACCCTACGCGGGGGCCTGTGCTCCCTCGTTCCCCCCAGTCCCGCCGTTCCCCGTCCCCATCCCCCGTGCCGTCCCCGTGCTGTACCCGTCCCTCGAGCTATACCCGTCCCCGGTGCCGTCCCCGGTGCCGTCCCCGTGCCGTACCTGTCCCCGTCCCCCGTCCCCGCTCCCGCCGGTGCCGGATGTTCCCGCCCCGTCCGGCGCCGCGGGCGCTGTGAGGCGGCTCCATGGCGGAGGCGGGGCGCGGGCTCGGCAGGTTCGGCCCGGCGGGTCCCGGGCCCGGCTTGCCCTGCCCCTGGCCCGCGGCCCCGCTGCGCCGCCCGCCCTCCCGCTTCGCCGGGCTCGCCTGTCCTCAGCTGCTCGGCCGGGGCCCGGCCCGCGGGCTCGGCCCCTTCCCCGCGCCCCCCGCGCCGCCGGCGCTCGGGGCCGAGGCGGAGGACGATGAAAGAGGTGGGTCCCGGAGCCCCCCGGTGAGCACGGACAGACCTTTCCCCCCCCCCCCCTGGGGCTGCAGGGGAGAGGGTTCAAATCACAGGCCTTTCGTTATAAACTAAAACAGCAGAAGTTCCACCTCGGCGCGAGGAAGAACTTCTTTCCGCGGAGGGTGGGACAGGCCGCCCCAGGGAGCTCGTGGATTCTCTCTGGAGACCCAGACCCACCCGTGTCACCTGCTCCAGGTGACCCTGCCTGGGCAGGGGGGGTTGGACTGGGTGGTCTCTACGGGCACTGACAGAAAATGGAGCTGCACAGAGTTCGATTTCAGGACTTGTCCACTGATCCTTTTCGGTGTTCCCCTTTTATTCATTTTCTCTCGTGAACAGCACCTGGTGTTTTTCTTTAGTTAACTAGAATTCCCAGGATCGTCCTAAACCAGTGCCTCGATCCCACACATTCAGCTCACATCATGTGGTGGCTGTGTTCAGCCACAAGAGAAAAACACACGTGTATCATGCAGACCGTTCAAGGTGGTTTTCCACTTTGAGAAACACAACATTCTCTCTTTCAAAGCACTTACCCAAGGTCGATCCTCCCTTTCAATTCCAATTAGCTAAATGCAGGTGCAGAGTGGCTCTGCTTGCTCCCACAATCTCCAGATGTCCCTCGCAGCCCTAACGATTCTGCCATTCCACTTGTGTTATTCCACTTGCTGCCTCTCCCCAGTGCCGCTGGCAGAGATCTCGCTGATGAACAAGCTGATCCACACGTCCCTGGTGGAGTCCGACCAGCACGTGGAGATCCTGCAGCGGGACCCCAGCTCCCCGCTCTTCTCCGTCAAGACCTTCGAGGAGCTGCCCCTGTGAGTAGCCACAGCCCCTGGCCTTGCTGAACGCCAGCGCCACTGGCCGCCCTCACACGGGCCCTTGGGATGCTTTATTTCCACAGGAAGAGGGAGCTCTTGCGGGGGGTTTACATGATGGGCTTCAACAGACCGTCCAAAATCCAGGAGCAGGCTCTGCCGCTCATGCTGGCGTATCCGTGAGTAGGAACGAGAGCCCCGGCTCCGCGTGGCATCCCGGTGCTCTGACCCCTGCGCTCCACTAAGCTGCCTTTGCCTTGCAGGCCCCAAAATCTGATTGCCCAGAGCCAGTCAGGGACAGGGAAAACAGCAGCTTTTGTCTTGGCCATGCTGAGCAGAGCCAGTGCCAACGAGAAATACCCACAGGTAACGAAGGACAGGGAGAGCTGATGCAGGAGGGGTTGGCCCAAGTGCCCAGAACACTGCTGGGGCCAGAGCTCCAGGCTTTGTCCCTGTCCCTGTGTGGCTTCACCCACTGGAGGGGGATGACAAACCCCCAGGGGCTGTCACAGTGGCAGGTAGGACTGAAAGCACAGTGCCTGCCCCAGGGAGGCACTTTGACTTGCCAGGGCATATCAATCCAGGCTTCATTTGCCCTGGAATTTAAATTTTGAGGAGCAACTGTAGACACTGCTGGTTTTCTGGTGGCTCAAATAGCCCCAGTCCCCTCTCTGGGTGCAGAATCAGCTTTGCCTGCTGGTTCCTGCCATGTAACATCTCCTCTCACGTGCATGGGATGACTGAACCAGGGCGCAGGAACGAGCTGCGCTGTGCTTCCAGAGGGGAATTCCTCCTCAAAAACAGCAACAGTGGCTTCCTTCTGCCCCCATGGCTGGAGCTGGGAACACAGCCCAGCTCCCAGACCTCCAGCCATGCCCAGCTGCCCGATCCCCTGTGCCTCAGTGCTCTGCAACGCTGCTGTGCTCCTCTTGCTGTCCCTGCCCTCGTTGCCAGCCCAGCGTGTCCCACCCCAGGCCTGACAGCTCCCTCCTCTCCTCTCCTCTCCCACCAGTGCCTCTGCCTGGCTCCCACCTATGAGCTGGCCCTGCAGATTGGGCAGGTGGTCCGGACCATCGGGAAGTTTTGCACTGACATCAAGGTGAACTACGCTGTCCGGGGAAACCGAAGTGAGTCCAGCCCAGCACAGCTACTGGCACTGCCCCGGGAGTGGGAAGGGAGCACAGAGATCCCCTCTTAGAGCCTGGAGCTACCAGGGACCACCCAGATCTCCATGAAGGCCAATAAAGTAGTGTCTGTGTCCCCCTCACCTGCTGAGGAGGCTTTTCCACCATCTTTGGCTGCTTCTAGACTCCCCCTTCCCACATAGGGCTGGTTCCCACCCCAAAGGCTGAAGGGAAGTGTCGTGATGACCCCTGGAAGGCATCACTGAGCAGCCAGAGTCTGACTGACCCGAGGGGAGCAGCAGGGAGCTCCGTGCCTGGAGGCAGCCAGGTGCGTTTTTCCCTCTCGCAGTTCCGAAGGGCACGGTGCTGGAGGAGCAGATCATCATCGGGACGCCGGGCACCACGCTGGACTGGTGCTTCAAGCAGCGCATCCTGGACCTGACGAAGATCTCCTTGTTCGTGCTGGATGAGGCTGACATCATGATCGACACGCAGGGCCTCTCCTGCCAGAGCATCCGCATCCACAGGTGAGTATCCCTGACGGCTGGCATCCCGCTTCCCTGCTTTCAGACATGGTGCTGAGGGGGCTTGTGGAGGGGTCCAGCTTTCCCTAAAACCACGTCTGCTGGACACATGGCAAGACTTTTATCTTCCTTACCTTTCCTTTGAGCTGTTGGAGCTTAGAGAATCATGGAATGGCCTGGGTTGGAAGGAACCTTAAAGCCATTCCAACCCCCCTGCTGGGGGCACAATGTCTTCCACTAGACCAGGTTGCTTCAAGTTCCATCCAACCTACCCTTGGACACTTCCAGGGATAGGGCAGCCATAGCTTCTCTGGGCAACCTGTTCCAATGCCTCACCACCCTCACAGCAAAGAACTTCCTCCTCATATCCAATCTAAACATCTTCACTTTCAGTGTGAAGCCACTGTCCCTTGTCCTGTCACTCCAGGCTCTTGTAAAAAGTCCTTCTCCGTCTTTTTTGTAAGCCCTCTTGGCTTCCCTTTCCATTGCAGGCCACACAAAATCAACTTAGAGTTTATGTCCTCCTGGACAGAAGCCATTCACTGGGACTGAGGAGGCCTTTTTCCTGTCACAGGGCTCTTCCCAGGAACTGCCAAGTGCTGCTGTTCTCGGCCACCTTCAAGGAACCCGTGCGGGCCTTTGCCGAGCGGATCATCCCCGACCCCATCGTGATCAAGCTGCGCGAGGAGGAGCTCACGCTGAGCAACATCAGGCAGTACTTCATGGTGTGCCAGAACTCGGAAGAGCAGTACAAGGCGCTCTGCAACCTCTATGGCAGCTTCACCATCGGCCAGGTCATGATCTTCTGCCAGGTAACGCCCCTGCCCAGGAGAGCCCCGCGCTGGCCCTTGGGGATGGCAGGAATGGGTCCTTCTACGGTGTGGGCACGGGGGGACAAGACTCCCAAAACAAGACCCCAAGGGGGTGTTGAAATTTGCTGGGAGGTCCCTCAAAAGGAGCAGGGGATTTGGGAGGGGGTTGCTGTTCTGGGCCTCAGCCTCTCCCCGTGTGCCCAGACCCGGAGGCTCGCGGACTGGCTGTCGGAGAAGATGAGCCGGGACGGGCACCAAGTGGCCACGCTGACAGCAGAGCTGACAGTGGTCCAGCGGGCCAGTGTCATCCAGCGCTTCCGCGAGGGCAAGGAGAAGGTCCTCATCGCCACCAATGTCTGCGCCAGAGGTATCCTGGGAAACCCAGCATCCCTGGAAACACACCAGGCCTGCGGTTCTTCCACGTGGATGCCGTGGGACGAGGCGATCCCTTTCCACAGCCCCTTTCCCTTTCTTCCAGGGATCGACGTGCAGCAGGTCACCACCGTGGTGAACTTTGGCCTCCCCAGGGATTTGGATGGAGAGCCGGATTTTGAGACCTACCTGCACCGGATTGGGAGGGCGGGACGCTTCGGGCACCGCGGCATCGCCTTCAGCATGGTGGAGAACGAGACCGTGGAGCTCGTGCACAAGATAGAGGAGCATTTCCGTGAGTATCCATGTGGATCCACCGCTCTGGGAGGCTGGGCTGGGACTGTGATCCGCCTCCACCTCATCCTCCCCCTCGAACCTTGCGGGGCTGCTCCTCTCTCCGAGGCTCATCCCACTGGGAACGGGTGACAGATGCAGCTTTTAGGGTGATTTTTTGCTACCCAGCAGCCAAATTTTCAGAGAAACAGCCCTGGAGATTGTGTGCAACTCACAGGGGATGTTACTAGCACCCAGGATGCCTTAGAACCTCCTATTTTTTTCCCTCCTTCAGGCATTTTTTCTGCCTTTCCCTGCAAATCCTTGTCCCAGGGGACCTGGTGCTGTGGCTCAGCTCAGCCCTGGCTGTGGGACAGGAGCTGGCAGCTGTGGAAATCTTTCCTGAGTGGAAATAGCTTGTCACTTGTCAACATCAAGAGGATTTTCATGGGATTTGCCAGATGCCGTGGCTGCACCAATTGCTTTTTGAATGCCGGTGCCTGTCATCCCAGTTATTTTTTAGGGGAAAAAAAGAGTTATGGAAACCTTTTGGAGGGCAGAAAGTGCTGTTCCTTCCTCAGCTCCGGCCTTGGAGCTGCTCAACCCTCTTGGTTCCTTTAAATTTCCACTTGTCCTTTAAACACCGAGCGAGCCTGTGGTGGACACCAGGCAGGGAAGACATGAGCCAAATAGTCCAACGAAGGTGGTTCCCAAGCAGTAGAAGCAATGAGCAGCTGGAATAACTGGGGTGTGGGTGAGGCTGACCACAACCATGGCTGGAACGAGCCGAAGGAGCCCAGTGTGAGGGTGAAAATCAAATGGGATGAACTCCTGGCGATCTGACTTGTGCTTTTTCACATCATGATGTTGGGATTCAAGGACATGAACCTTCCCTGTCCCGCGTGGCTGCGGAGGTGGGAGCAGGGAGCAGGAGCACGTCCACAGGCTGAACCTGGTTGCAGGGCCACCTCTTGCTCTTGCTGCCGTGCCTTGGCTGCTGCCCTGACCCTGTTCCCCTTGTGCTTCCTCCCAGCTGATTTCCTGGTGGAGGGAGATGCCGCAGTGAGCGCTCCAGGAGCTTCTCAGCTGGCACAGGGCACACAGGCAGTGCAGACACCAGCTCAGGGGGGGACAAGCTCTGTTCTCACGTCCTGACAACAGCTCTTTCCTTCCTACAGAGACCATGATCAAGCAGCTGGACCCGTACGACATGGATGAGCTCGAGAGGCTTGCAGCTGAGTGAGGAGTGAGGATTCACTCCCCCAAATCCAAGTTCTGGTACATGACAGGAGGAAAAGTTACAGGGGAAAACTTCCCGGTTCTCTTATGTTCTGAAGCTGTTGAGTTTTGTTGTGTTGCCTGAGGAGAGGCCGGGGCAGACCTCATCCCGCTAGATGGCAGCAGGAATCCACCGCTGCCATCCCGAATCCCGGGGCCGATATCCAAGTGTTCGGGGTCCTGGTGGTGCAGGGAGCGAGATTGGACCCCTGGAGGTCTGAAATTCAAATGTTCGGGGTCCCAGCAGTGCGGAGAGAGTTGTTGGACCCTGGGGTCCCAAAATCCAAGCATTTGGGGTCCCAGCAGTTTAGGGAAAGAGGTTGGACCCTGGGAGCGGCCTGTCCCCAGCCCAGGGCTGTGTTTGTGCCTTTGTTAATCTTTAATAAATAAATGGTTTGTAATCCTCAGGGTGGCTCCTTCCTTAGCAAAATCCCCTGAAATTTATGACTGCTGGAAGGAGGGTTGTGTTGACGATGGTGGCGTTTCCCAGATCGGCCACTGCCCTCCACTCCCCTCATCCAAGTTTCTTCACAAGCCCGACCTGCAGGAGCACAAAACAGGCCAGAGCACCGCTGGAGGCATGTGGCAGCAGGAGGGGGGCCTGGCCCTGGCTCTGCAGCCCCTCACCACCAGCTTTAACCCCTTTGGGGCATTTCAATGCCCGAAACCTCTATGCGGGAAATCCCGCGTTCAGTGTTAACGGTGTGATTGTGGTAAGGGGCAGTTAATTCTAGTTAAAGAATCGGGGAGGGGATGAGAGATGGCAGGTCATTTTCCAGACTTTCCTGGGTGTTGCCAGATCCTTCCCCCACGTGCAGCCAGAAATCCCCCCTCCGGGGCTCTCCGGCCCCCCGGCATTGCGTTACGGCGCGGCCGCCCCCATGAATGTTTGATGGGCCGGGGCTCGGCAGGGAGCGGGAGATGAAATATCAAACCCCACTCCTGGCCCGGCTTCCCTGGCTCCAAACCCCCCGCCTTCGATCGCGGTGGGGGGGCAGTGTATCTTCCCCCTCCTTTAGCCAAAAAAAATTGGGTGCGGAAAGGGAGGACTCAGGAATTCGATTCCCCTGCATGGGGAAGGCGAGGATGCTGCCATTCCTGCTGCAAGCATGCCCGTCCTCAGCCCCGAGATTGCAGGGGCTGAGGCAGCAGCAGCGGCGTCGGGTTCCCCCCTGCAACACCAGGTTGATAAATAATTAACGGTTAATCAGGGCTGGGCCTAATTACCTGGGAGTAACCGGAGAGGAGATGGGGCCGGAGAGCACAGCCCTGCTTCAGGCAGTGCCGGTGCCGGACATGGCGCCATGGAGCGCGGCCGGGCAGTGCCGCCGCCTTGGAGGGGGCCCTGGATCCTGTGCCTGCTGCCAGCGCTGGCGGGGGGTGAGCAGGGACCCCTCCCCACATTCCTAGGCTGGGGGGCAGGCAGAGTCCTGACCTGATGGACACGGTGCCCCGGGGCAGGGCAGCCGCTGGTGGCCGGCGAGGCGGCCTACGAGGAGTGGCAGGTGACGGGCGTGCGAGGCCGGGCGGTGGAGATGAGCTGTGGGCTGGTGGCCGCGGCCCCGCCGGCCGTGGTGTTCTGGAGCTTCACGCCGCGGGGAGAGGGGCCGCCGCGGGCCGTGGCCGTGGGCTCGGGCCGGGACGTGGTCGTGGCCCCCGGCACGGGGACGCTGGGCCGGGTGACGCTGCGCAACGGGACGCTGGAGCTGCGGGAGCTGCGCGTGGCTGCCCAGGGCCGCTTCCTCTGCCAGGGGCTCTTCCCGGAGCGGGGCCGGCTCCGTGTGGGATATGCCGCCGTCCTCCTGCGTGTCCTGGGTAAGCCCCCGCTGTGGCCACCCTGAGGGGCCCTGCTGGCCATCAGTGGCTGGCATCGTGCCCCCCTGCACCACGGTCAAGCAGCCCCTCGCCCAGTAGCCAGCAGAGCTGTCCACTGGCCAGTGGAACACCCCACTAGTGAACAAAGGGTTCCGCCACTCAGTAAAGCGTGGCACTAGCCAGCATAGTGCCCTGCTAACCAATGAAGGGCCCCAATTGCCAATGGAGAGCCCCACTAGCCAACAAAGTGCCTCACTAGCAAGTGTAGCACCCCACTTGCCAACAAAGCACCCCACTAGTCAGTGGAGTACCCTGCTTGCCACTGTAGTCTGCCACTAGTCAGCAAAGCCCCCCACTAGCGAACATAGCACCCCACTAGCCAATATGGCATCCTACCAGCCAAGGTAGCTCAACACCAGCCAACATAGCACCCACCAGCCAATGAAGAGCCCATCGGCCAAACCAGAGCCCCACTAGCCAGCCCAGCACACCACTTGCCAGTGAATAGTGCATCCCCCTTGCCCCCAGTCAGTGTAAACCCCAACTAGCCAATGTAGCAGCCCACTAGCCACCCCCATTTCCTTGCCCTGGCCACCCCAGCAGCCCACCACCCTTAACTGGTCTCAGCAGCCACTCCACGCAGTCCCCACGCCCACAGCCAGGATGCCCCTCGCTAGCCCGTAGGTGTCCTCACTAGCCATCCTACTGGCTGCTGCAGCACCAGTTGATCAATCATCTGGGCTGGGAGGGGGGGACGGGAGGGCCCTGAAGGGGTCCTGCTGTCTGTGGGTCCTGCTCACAGCTCAGTGTCCCCAGTGCCCGTCTCCAAGCCCTTCGTGCGGCCGACAGCGGCGGCGGCGGCAGAGGGGGCGGCGGTGGCCCTGACGTGCACTGTGCGGGAGGGGACGGAGCCACTGAGCTTCTCCTGGCAGCACCAGGAGCCCCGGGGGGGTCCCTCAGTGTCCCCCGTGGGGCTGAGGGGCTCTGGGGCAGAGCTGAGCCTGACGCCCGCCAACCGCAGCCACACGGGCTGGTACCTCTGCACCGCGAGCAACGAGGTCAACAGCCACACCAGCGAGCCCGTCTACCTGGACATCGTCTGTGAGTGCCCCGGGCACCGCCCTCATGGGGGGCCTCAGCCACCAGCTGGGGGCCATCTTCGGGGCTGGAGATGCCAACATGGCACATCCATGGCATGTCTGTGGCCACCATGATGCTTCCATGGTATGTCCATAGCATGGCCATGGCCACCAAGCACCCTGCCACCGTGGCACATCCATAGCTACTGTGGTGCATCCATAACCACTGTGGTGCATCCATGGACATCACATACCCTGGTACTGGGATGCTTCCATGGCCACCGTAATGTGTCTATGGCTACCATGGTGTGGCATGTTGCCACCATGATGTATTCATGGCCACCGTATGCCCCACCACCATGATGCCTCCATGGCCACCATGGCCTGTCCATGGCCACCATAACCTGTCCATGGCCACCATGACCTGGCCACTACGTGACCACCGTGTGCCATGCTACCAAGGCATGTCCATGACAACCATGCACCTTGTTACCTCCATACCTCCAAGGCCACCATGGCACATCTGTGACCACCAAGCACCACAGTATGTCCATGGCCACCCACCCCCACAGTGGGACCTTTCTAAGGAGGCTTCACTGCCCCATTTCCCACCAAGAGGAGGATGCCCCAGGGAAGGCTGTGTCCCCTCTGTGGGGACAACCCCGTGGCTAAAGGACCCTCGTGTGCCTGCAGACGGCCCCGACGAGCCGGCCATCAGCGTGGAGCCCTTCTCCCCTGAACAGGGGGGCTTCTCCGCGGGCGAGCGGGAGGATGTGGTGCTGAGCTGCCTGGCTCCCTCCAACCCCCCCAGCCGCTACGTCTGGCTGCACAACGGCACCCAGGTGCACGTTGGCCAGACCTACGTCATCGCTGCCATCGCCCGCGCCCAGGCGGGCACCTACACCTGCCTGGCCGAGAACACCCACCTGCAGACCCGCACCCAGGCCACCATCGTCCTCACCGTGTACTGTAAGTAACCCCGCGGAGGGGGGGGCGGCGGGGCCCCCCCGGGGTGAGATGGACCAAACCGCAGCTCCCTGGTGAGGATGTGGGTGTGAGGGGCAGTTTGAGGAGGGTTGGGGGGGAGCCCCCGGCCTCCCCCAGCGCTGATGGTCTCCTGCAGATCCACCAGCCGGGAGCCCCAGCTGCTCTGCCCTGGCCACCAGTGACCTGCAGGATGTGGCCCTGCGGTGCCGCTGGCTGGGGGGCTTCCCCCTGGCCCAGCTGCGCTGGGTGGGCTCCCTTGAGGAGGAGAAGGAGGAGGAGGAGGAAGAGGGGGTGATGGGGACCAGTTTTTCCATGGCCACCAGGATCCAGCCAGGGGCAGCCACAAGGAACGGCAGCTCCTTCTCCTGCCTGGCCTCCCACCCCGCGCTGCCGCAGGGGGCTGCGTGTGGGACCACCCTGTGTGAGTGATGATGGGTCCATCTGCCCCCCAAGCCCCTTCCTGACGCCCCGTGTCACCCCAGAGCCGTGGTGACCCCGTGCTATGGCCACACCACGGGATGGGCACCCCAGGGTGCTGCTGCCTTTGCTGGGACATCCAGCACCCCCCACTTGCTCCAAAATGGGGGTCCACACGGTGCAAAGCCGTGCAAAAGCCCCCCATGCCCTTGGGGGGGGGTAGTATCTGCTTTTTGGGGGTGCTTTGGCACAGCGCGGGAGTGCCCCGCCCCGACACCGCTCCATCCCGCAGGGGTCCCGCCGGGCAGCCCCTCCTGCGCGGCAGCGGCCACCAAGGGTGACGAGTACGTGATGCTGCAGTGCCGGTGGGAGGGGGGCACGCCCCCCGTCACCCTGCAGTGGAGGGACGGTGGGGGCCGGGCCCTGGGGGACCCCACACCCTCCACCGCCGTCCTGGTGCTGAGCACCGAGGGCAGCCTTGGGGGCCGAGAGTTCGTCTGTGCGGCCGCCCACCCGCTGCGGGCCCCCGGCGCCGACTGCCGCCTGCGCCTGGGTAAGCCAGACCCGTCCCCGGTGCTCCCACCGTGCCACAGCGGGAGTGTTGGGGTGGCACGTCCCTGCCCACATTGTCCCTCCTTCTCGCCGAGCAGAGGTCCCCGATCTGGAGGCGGCGAGCGAGGTGGCGGTGCTGGAGGGCGGCGAGGCGCTGCTGACCTGCCGGCAACGTGGCACCAGCGCCAGGCTCAGTGCCACTGTGGCTTGGTACGACCCCAGGGAGCGGGAGGTGACACAGGGGCTGGCCAAGTACCGGCTGGAGCAGGGAGAAGCGTGGCTCAACCTCACTGTCCTGGATGCCGAGTGGCCGAGGGACGGCGGGATCTACCGCTGCACCGCGACCAACGCCGTGGGCACCGCCAGCCTCCCCGTCCGCCTCCGCGTGGACCGTGAGTCCTGGCAGGGCTAGGGGGGGTCCCCCAAGGTGGGCTGGGGGCTTCAGCCCCCTCCTGCCGGGTGCCATCTCTCCGCAGGGTACCCGGCCCCCCCCAACGTCACCATCAGCAAACTGCGCTACACGCGGGCGCGCACCGAGGTGCAGCTGGAGTGGCGGACGCAGGGCACCGGCAACCTCACCGGCTTCGTGGTGCAGCGGCGCCAAACCAAGAAACCCCTCCGAGAGGCGCCCAGCCCCTGGGAAACGGCCGCTGGCAACATCGAGCCCCACTCCCGCGACCGGCGCCTGGGGGGGCTGGACCCCGCGGTGCTCTATGCTTTCCGCGTCCTGGCCGTCAACCACCGCACGGCCGGGCACCCCTCCGAGGTGCAGACGCCAGGTGAAGTGGGCAGGGGCTGCCGTTCCATGGGGGCAGAGCAGGGTTTGAGTGGAGAAGGGCAACGTTTCCGTCCTGGTGGAGCTGAGGAGCTGAGTGCGAGCAGCCGTCAGTAGGTTTTCAGAGCGAACAGGCACAGCCTCGCACGGTCTCTGGCGTTTCTGGGCTCTGCCCGTCCCTGCTGCCTGCCATACTCCCTCTGCTCTCTTCCAGCTGAGCCTCCCTTCGAGGCCTACCCGGCGGTGACGGGGGCGGCGGTGGCCGGGATGCTGGTGGCCACCGCAGCGTCACTCCTGGCCGTGCGCTGCATCGCCCGCCACCGGGAGACTCTCCCACGTGAGTGCCAGCCCTGGGGGGCTTGTGGGCTGGAGCCTTGACCCCCGCACCTCACATCTTTCTGTCTCCCCAGGGCTGCACGACCTGCTCTTCCGCACGTGAGTGCCCAAATCCCTCTGCCCCGCTGTATCCCCGCCCTGGCGCCAGCGAGACCCCGCACGTCCCTCCCCCAGGGCCGGTCCTGGCGCCCAAGAACCCGTGGACACGCCGGAGGATGCTGAAGCAGCCGCGAGCGGGGAGGAGGAGACAGCACCAGCACCGGGAGAAGTGCCTGCCCCCAGCACAGCAGCAGGTACCCGCACCCTGGGGCGAGCCGAGGGCTGAGCCACCCGCCCCGGTGACACCTGGTGGCACCGGGGCTCTCCCACCCCTTGCAGAGCCGCTCTCGGCACCGCCAGGCACCGCCGAGGACCCACCAGCTGATGTCACCATCACCGCGACGGCGACGCCGTGACCACTCCGGCTTTTTCCTCTTTATTTCCCTTTGCTCCTCTCGTCCCACACCAGGGGACGGCAGCGCCCACCCACCTGTGTCACGTCAGGCTGGGAGGCAGCTGGCTCCGAGTGCCGCACCAGGAGAAAGCCCCTCTGGCTCAGCCTCGGGCCTGCAGTTACCGCTGGAGCTAAAATAAATATTTAGGCTACAATAAATAGTTTCTCACCGATGGCAGAAAAAAATCCCTGAGGGTCGAAGTGCCGCCCTCAGGCCCAGGGCTGGTGTTGGATGGGGATGCTGCTCTGGGACTGTGCTGAATTTTCTGTGGTGCAAAAACAGCCACGAAGATTTGGGGGGCAGGGAAGGGGCCTCATCTTCACCCCAAGATCCCCATTTTCGGGCCAAACCACAGGAGGATAAAAGCAGTGACTGGTGATGGTTTTTCCCCACGATGGTGCAAGCATGGAGGGAGGCAGGGTCTAAGGAAAGTGTCAGGCACTTCCCAGCCTTCCTCAACCCTCATCTTTTGGTGTCTGTGGAAACAAGAGCATGTTGGGCCATTTGTCCTATATTTAGTTAATTATCCATTGGGAAATATCGAGTGACACCTCAAATCAGTGCCCACAGAGCATCAATCCCCATGCTGGCCAAAGAGCAGCATCACCCCCAAAAATACACACCCTACCCCAAACCCCTTCAAAACAGCATCGTTTCCAAATACATAAGATTTCAAAGGGATATTACAGATTCTCTGGAAAACAGAATGTCTTTATCCAACACACCCACGATACAGGGGGGGATTTAAGCAAGGTCATTTAAAACCGTGGTTAAATCTCAGTGTTTGGGGAGAACGAAGCAGCCAGAGGTGAACCCCAACCTCTCCATCAGAAAAGGGGAAAGCTTCCCAGCAGATACTGTGAAGGGAAAGTCCAGACTGCAAGGAGGAGATAAACAAAGGGGGAGGAGGGGGCTCTGTGGTGGCTCCAAGGGTACATGCCAGTCAAAGCCCATGGGTGTGAGGTCCAGGGTTTGCAGGGAACTTCAGAATAAGGCAGCTTGGCTGGGAGGATCCAAAACCCTAAAAAAAAAGGCAAAAAAATAAATACAATCATAAATAAAGCAAGAGGAGAGGGAGGGGAGGAAGAGAAGGGGAAAGGAGGGAGGGAAGGGGAAGGGAGGGGAGGGGAGAAAAGAGAAAAGAAAAAAGAGAAGACAGAAGGCAAGGCTTTGGGAAGAGCTCATTGCGACCTTCTGGTACCTGAAGGGGGCTTATAAAAGGGGGAGGAAATTTTTATACAGGCAGGCAGATAGTGACAGGACAAGGGGGAATGTTTTCCCCTGAGAGGGGGCAGGGTTAGATTGGATATTAGGAAGAAATTCTTCCCTGGGAGGGTGGTGAGGCCCTGTCACAGGTTGCCCAGAGAACCAGTGGCTGCCCCATCCCTGGAAGTGTCCAAGGTCAGGTTGGACTGGGCTCGGAGAAACCTGGGCTGGTGGAAGGTGTCCCGTGGCAGGGGGTTGGAACGAGATGAGCTTTAAGGTCCTTTCCAACCCAAACCCTTCTGGGATTCTATGAAAAGGAAAAAGCCCACCCCAACACCTGGAACAGCCCATGGAGACACCGCTGCCAAAGCAGATCTCAAGAGCTTCCTTCTTGCACAGGCGTCGCTCCCCAAACCCCGTGACTGGTGAAACTGCACCTGTAGCCCTGAGGTCCCCGAGGGGTTTGGAGCAGCCACAGCCAGGCCAGCACAGCCTCCTTCTTTTCCAGCCTGGCCAGAAACACGCTGCTCTGTGCAAAGGTGCTGCACAGGCATCACCCCGGGGCAGCCGTAACCTCATGCCCCTCATTTCTGGGATCATGCGCTCGTGAGTCGTGTGGGGGAGGGAGTGCTTTACAAGCACAAGGTTGTTTCATTTTCTGGGATTAAATTTGGAAAGGAAAAAGAAAAAAAAACCTACCCAAACCCTGCAGTTAAGGTTGCAACACCTCCATCGTGCTGTGTCCGGGGCGGGTGGGTTCCTGACAGCCACGCGCGGGGCCGGTGGGAGCTGCTCCGACACCACTGGTTTAATTTTGGAGCTATCCAAGCTGTCAGTACTCCCTCAAACCAAGAGTAGAACTGGATTTTGTCTTCTGTGAGCGGCAAGGTGAGACAGGCTGGATTTCCACCTGTACTTCTGCAGACATAAGGGTTATCAAGCATCTGAAGTCACAGTCACCGACCCAAGCTCTGCTTCAAGCTGCGCTGGACGGACTCAGCTGAGGCTCAGTTCTCGTATTTATTTTCTCATTTTCCCATTGAGATCTTCCCAGAGAAACCGAAAGAGGATGGGATGTGTTCGTGGAAAGGATGGTTTGAGTGCCACGTCGCCGAGCTGCCAGGGAGGTGGCAGCCATTGGTCACCACATCAGACCTGCTAAAATCCCTGTCCCGGGCTCCTTGGAAGCGCTTCTCACACTGGTAACACGCCACGGAAACACACTCCACATTTCCCATCCTCGTTCTTTATATTATTACAATTCTTTTTTATACACATAACCAGGGCTAGTTTCGCGGCGTGTGAGGGGGGGAAAAAAAATAACAAAAAAAAAAAAAAAAAAAAGGGATTTCAAGGCATAAATAATATAAAAAGGCAACCATTTTGAAAACCAAGATACATTCATATGACACTACTACAAAAAATAAATAGTGACTCTCTCTGTTATAATTAACATCCCCCCGTCACTCCCTCTCAGCGACACTGGCAGTTCCTGGCGTTAAGTGGGGACAACGGTCACTTCCTCAGGTTTCCCGCAGCTGGAGCTGCCGAAGGTCCCCAGAACCGTTTAAGGTGACTCCGGATGAACTCCATCCTGGTTTTTCCTTACAGTCCTTGGAAACAGGCTGCAGAATGAGGGGACTCCAGCTCAGAATGTGGTTCGATGTTTCCGAGTGCACGCAGCTGTCGCCTGCAAAGCAAGAGCAGGGCGGGTGGTTGTTGTTGGGTTTTTTTCAGCAGATACTCTCTGTCAGCTCAACAGACTCACATGCCCCCAAAATTCCTAATTCCAGTGGGTGATGCTCTTTGGGCTCAGGCTCATTCCCACTGTACCAGGCACAAGCACAGGGCATTGGCTCTGTCCTGGCACTGCTATGGAACAGCCCACACTCGTGAGGTCAGCCCAGCTCCCTCCCTGCGCCTGTTCCTGCCTCCAGGATGGCTCTGGGCCCTCAGGAATGCCTGCTCATTAAGGAGAACTCCATTAGGCAGCTTTTCAGCAGTGTTGGAGCCCACTGGTGCCCTGTGGGGGCAGCATCAATCAGTCACAGGCTCGTTAGGTGCTGGATGAGCTCCGTTTAGAGGCATCAATCACAAGGACATGACAGGACCAGGCACAAGGCGGGGACGCTTAACCTCCCTCAAAGAGCCAGCTCTTTTGTGGGCTTAATTACCAGCTTCTCCACGACCAATTAAGCACCCTACAGCTGTCCTACAGAATACTCCCGGCCCCAAAGCCAGGTGCTGTCCTCCCCGGGGTTGCCTCACCGTCCATGCAGTCCACGGAGAGCCGGCCCACGCCCTCCTGGCAGCAGGGGTGCTGGGGGGAGGGATGCTCCGAGCCCTCCTTGCCGTCCTCCTCCAGCCGGGCGCCGCACTCAGGGACAGCAGAGGCCAAGCACATGGCCACCATGACGTGGGGGCTCAGGGGCTTCATCTCCACACCATCCTGCTGGAAAGGGGCTCCCAGGGGCACCACGGGCAGGGCGGCGCTGCCAAAAGTGCCGTTGGTTTTGGTGAAGCACCTGCGGGCGGGACAGAGGCTGAAGTTACTCAGAGTGGCTTCTTTCTCCCCCCCCCCCCATATCTTGAGAAAATGCAACTTTTAAGTGCTTTACCACATGTCAAAAGTAAAATCAGTTTTAAATCTATTTTTGGAGCAATCCTGACGTTAAGAAAAGCACCGAGTGGTTTTTTTTTCTCCCAACAGACAGCTGAAAACACTCGAAACACGCTCAGTTCCTTCCCCCATCGATTGTGACCCAACGACCTGACTTGTGAGTCCACTTCTCCATCAAAGCAAACCCATAAAACACATTTCGCTGCCAAGATAAAGAGCTCAAATTTTGAAGCGCGAGCAGCAAACTTAAGTACCTTGGAAAATTAATACTAAGTGTTATCAGAGCGAACGCAAATTAAAAAAATAGATGCAAGATTATAAATTTAACACCCTCTTCTGCTGTGCAAGTCAGGTTGTGGCCCTGTAATATGTGTGTAAGGCTGTGGAATAGAAGCTAAAGTGGCGAATCAACTGTTACAGCTGAGGTATTTAAGCTTTAACCAAAAAGGAGCAGGACTTTGACACATGTACCACTGCAGCAGGCAGGGAAAACGCCTCAGTGTTTGAAACAACATGGCCTCAGGGAACATTTATATACATAATTCCTACATCAGAAAGCCCCTCCTCCAATATTCCACTTCAGTGTGGTTTTAGACAAAACCATAATTACCCCAAAAGGAAAAGGTTTACTTGTACAGCTGCCACAAACTTTGGGAAACTACCCCCCAAAACTCTTCCTTGTTGTGTGGCGCAAGACAGAGATGGATCCACGGATAAAAGCATGGAAATAAGGATGGAGAGTGTTCACACCCACCAGAGATCCTCCAAAACGCTCCCACAAAGGCTGAACAGGCTTCAGGTTTTTATGTGCTGATACAGGTACAACTCTGAGCATCCTCCCCTTCTTTCCTACCAAGTGTAAATCCATCCCTTGCCTGCTCTGCTCACAGGGACCAGCCCAGTGCACCTGCTGTAGGTTATCCCTGGGGCTGCCTGAGACTGGCATCTGGAAATATAAAAACTGCTCCCTGGGACCTGGCTGCTTGGGTGCTGGTTTGGTGTGCTGCTCCACAGTGATTCTGGCCCAAAACTGAGCAGGGCTAATGAAATGTGGCTGGAAAAGGAGGGGAATATGGGCTGGGACATCAGCAGTGCCAGGGCAGCAGCCAGCAGAGCCACCTCCAATGGCAGTGGAGCCCTGAGCACCTCAGCACTGAGCTCAGACAGGTTTAAAATCAGGATACATGAAGCTTGGCAGTCGCAGCAAGGTCCTGCCAAGGTCCCAGAAACCACTTTTATGCCTTTAAAAAGGTCAGTGAAACGCATAAAAACATCACACTGCAGGGACCTGCCCTACAGGAGCTTCAGTTCACACCTGAAACCTGAACAAAACCTGTGATCA